GCCATGCAAGTTGTTTTATTTTGAGACATTGCCATTAGCCTTGTCAAGGATGGATGCCTGCAGGAAGTTTGGTATTAGGAATGCCATGTTATTTCATACCTGCAGTGAAAGTTATCGTTTGGGAGCAAGACTTGGGTTTCTTTTCCTGATGTGGATGGCAGTGGCTCTTGGTTCCTCTGGTATCAACTGCTGGAGTACTAAGGAAGTGGAATATTCCTTCTAATCAGAGCCTTTTCTTTCTGTGATTTTCCACAGTTTCCTGTTTAACATGCTAAAAATTAAGTTTAGTCATGCTGCATCTTGCATCAGATAGAATGTTTCAGTGTCCTTCTAGGGGAACTTTCCATTATGAAGATACTATTTTGGTTCATCATAAATTATTTTTTTTTCTTTTTTTCCTGAAGTACTTGACTTTTTGGAATAACTGGAGGAGACCTGAATTTATTATTTCAGGAATAACTCTTAAGTGACATTTAAGATAGTAATAGTTTAATATGCCATATTTGAACTTGTAATTTTTGTTATGAAGATACGGTTTGCACAGTGTTGACTCTGTAGCTTCTTGCTGCCTGCAGATGCTATGGCCTGAATTCATCACAGCACTCAAGCAGTCTTAAGTAAAACATATGAGTGTGTTCATTTTATTTGCCTAGACACTCTTTCAAAGGATGCCTCTAGACTGTCTGCAAAAACAGTTTCACTGCTCATAAGGACAGCAAACCCTCAAACATGACCCCAGAGCTTATGTGCCCAAGCACTCTTGCAGTGTTAGTATGCAGCAAGATGTTTATAGATGGGCTGTTCGCAAGTGATGACCATGCTTGTGAGGCCCTGATGTAGCTTGGGCTGCCAGTGCACCTCTGGGCACACAGCCATCCCAGCAGCTTCTAGGACATCATTTCTAAGAGCTGCGCAAACAAATTTGACTTCGCTATTGACTTCAGCTGGCAGGGCTAATTCTTTAAAAACAAAATTCAGAGGTTAAAATGTAGACATGATACCCAAGGACTGGAGAATGCTGTGACCTTTAAGAAGTTCTTTAATTTTTTACATTTGGTAATGATGAAAAAGGTGAGTCATTTTTATTTTCTCTGTGATAACAGTTCTGACACCACTAAGAAGACTCACACTGATTTCACTAGGAATTTGACATTTTCCTCTCTTAGATACTGTTGACAATGTCGTATACTGATTTTGCCATCATTACATATGCTGTAAGAGTTTCTGCTGGCCACAGCAGAGAGTGGGACCCTCTGTGAAACCCTGAGAACTGGGTCAAGTGACAGCTAAGCCCAGCACAAGGTGGCATGTGGTTCCCAGACAGCAGAAACCTGGCTTCTTAGCAGGGGTGACAGCAGACAACAGCAGCTGGGTCCTTGGAGAGGAATCTTGTAGAGACAGGTTGTATAAAATATGTCATGCTGCACAAATTATGTCATGTGGCAGGGATGTAAAACTGCTGTGCTGTGAGTGAGCAGAGCCATGTTATCAGAGATGGAAAGTTAGTGAGGCAGTTTGCTTGGGATCATTCTCCAGCACTGGCTTATAGATGTTTGAGGAGAGGTCAGTTACTGCCGTGTACTGATATTCACCCAGTCCTGCAAACAGTAGTGTAGGGGTCTGCCTGTTCCTTGGCAGCCCACTATTAATTGTCACTTGTAAGCCTTGTATCACAAAGATTGCGGTCCCTATATTAACTACCTGCTTCCCTGTGTCCATGCCATGGCAATGGCCAAAACTGTGTTCATCGAGGCAGGTTGTGCTCTGCTGCATAAACAGACTATTGCGAACACTAAAAAATTCCACACAGTGTATATAGAAATTGTTCTTTATAGTGATTTAGTAATACCCTTTCAGATCTATTACTTTTCCAGTCAAGTGCATAGCTCACTTCATGGCTGATCTCCATTTCTTACTGTTTTTTGGCATGGGATTCCTTTTACTTAGAATACATGTGATTCATGGGTTACAGGCTTTTCTGTTGAAGTGCTATGTGTCTACAGTGGCAGTTGTGACTGCCACCACACTTGTGACTTAATTTACATAAAAACTCACAAGGATCAGTGATATACAAGAAATTCCTACCTGCTGTTTGTGTAGGATGGCCATCTGTCTGGCAAGTCCCCATGTGGAAGTCAGATATGACTGAGAAGACCCAAGCAACCCTCTGATGCGTTTCCCCAGCCACTGTAGGGTTTCTTATTCTACTTTTTCATTTTCTCACCAGTTGCTGTTGAGATTGAGTTTAGGGATCTGCATTCAGCAGCTTTTGAGTTCTAGTCCCAACACTGTGTTCAGTGCAGAATCATTCTTATGAAGTCACCCTTTTTCTTTCTAGGCCCAAATTTTGGGGGTTTCTAATTACACCTTAGGAAGTGATCCGGAATTTGGGCATGTCAGGTCGGTCACAGAAATTGATAAGTACCTGATTAGTTAGTTCTGGAAAATGCCTTTAGTATTGCTGAAAAACATTGAGACAAATTGGCTTTTAATATCAAGCGGCATCTTCTATTTGAGGATCATTCTACATATGTTCATGATCCTCCATGTAAGCGGTTTCCAAGATTCAGGAAAAGATCGTGAACGTGTCAAAGTGATGCTTTCTAAAGATATTCCCTATTATCTGCTAGAAGTTCAATATCTTTTAAAGATACTGGGTACTGACAAGTCATCCATCCTGAGCCCATGGTAGAACACAAATACCTTTGGCTCTCTGCTCTGAGTCTGTGTGTATGCATGGTTGTTGAGATCTTGCATTCACAGGTTGTCCTCAGTTTCTGTGTGAGACATTTTTTGAGCAATAAAGAACAAACATTTCATAACTTGGTATGTGTAATTTTTTGGGCACTTGTATTAATTTTAAAGGTTACAAAATCATGCAAGAAGGCATGCAGCCAGGAATTGCTGGTTTGCTTTATTGTCTTCCCTAATATAAAAGTGATCCCCATAAACCTTAACACAGTTACCATTCCAGAGTTAACTCCAAAGATACAGAATCATAGAATAGTTTGAGTTGGAAGGAGCTTTTAAATGTCACCTAGCCCAAACCCCCTGCAATGGGCAGGGACATCTTCCACTAGAAAAAGTTGCTCAGAGCTCTGTCCAACCTGATGTTGAAATTTATCTTTATAGACATCTAGATGAAGATAGTACAAGATGCATCTGAAGCTCTAGTGTGTGGTATGCATGCTTTCCTGCATGGTACACAACATGCTGCAGCAGACTTCTGAAGCAGCAGCCACAATAAATGAAATAAACACAACCTTCTGTAGATGAATGGTATCCCCTCCAACTAAAGGTTAAGGTGTCATCCAGTGATTTATCCTTCCTAATGGATTTGCTGGATTGCTGTGAGAGGGACATAAGTTACTACCTTTTGTACATTAAAAGTTGTGTTCTCAAAATGGTGTTTGGAGATTTTTGATATTGAGCAAGGGCAAATTACATGTCAAATTATCAACCATCCTGCTTGACATTTACTCAGCTCTGACAGGAACTTCGGTCAAGATGACACTTGTTTTATTTCAAAGCTCTTGCTAATAACATATTTCTGGAGAAAACCTGTAATATAGGCTGTTAATGGCATTGACTGTTGTGCTGTGGCCAGCCAGATGTTAGTGATGTGTGTTGTAGCTTTCAGACTCCCTGTAGATTATTGTTAAGGTATTGCCTCCTTGCTTTCATCTGATAATCCACCAGGTAGTTGCAATTCGGAGACAGGTGATGTCCTCATGTAGAGACCTCCAGTTAGGAATGCCTGCTGGCATTTGTGTGGTATTTTTGAGGAGGAAGTGACGTCTTCAGGCTTCATTATTCCCACAGGTCTGTACACATCCCCAGAACTAAGGAGCTTTCTTGGAACATGCACTTTTTCAAAGTATATTTCTATCTGGAAGCATTTCATGAAAGATTTCCTTCCTACAGTTCTTGCTTTCCTTGTCTGACAGTTCCTGATTGGTTGATACAGCGTATGCTTTTTTCCTGGTCATTTTTTTGCTGTATGCTGTATGACCTTAAATCAGTATGCTTCAAATGACATAACCTGAAAACAAATGGGGACATGTGTCAATTTACAAGCCTGTTTACACCTCTTGCTTCCTTGCTCAGTGCTGTAACTCTAGGTAACAAGGAGATGGCAACAGCTTATTTCATTGTTTGTGCGTGCGATAAACGACACAAAGACAAAATGAGGACATGCAATGAATTTGGCAGTAGTATCCAGGACAGAGTGGTTGCCCTCTTCACACTACCAAACTCTCTGGTGTATTCTCTTGAGTTAGAAATTGAAAATGCAGATCGTAATCTTCTGTAGTGAGTTGTATGCCCCTTGTGGTTTTTCAGCACGGAGAGACGTGCTTGTTTCAATAAAGATTCCTACATTATCAGATTCCTACATTATCATTCAATACAGATTCCCTACATTTAAGCTACCAGAAGGCCTCTGACTATGTGACAAGAATTACTGTCATGGATATTGCATAACAGTTTATGCATAATGTGTGATGCATTCTCAGTTGTATGAAATATGGAGGATATTAGAGACATCTTGAGTAGTGGTTTAGATTTACACTTCTTTTTTTTTTTTTTTTTGAGGTGGAAATGAGAGGGACATTTCTAGTGCTCTTCAATGGCAGTGGAAGATTTGAGATGGTTACAGTTAAAAATTAATGAAGTCCATAGAAGGGGAAGAGAGAAAAGTATATTTCATAGATGGATTATGGCCAAATCATGAATACTTAAATCATTTCTGGAAGTTAGAAATGCCATGCTGTTATTTGAATACCATAGCTGCCTCAGCATGCTTCCTCACTGCTCTGTCCAGAGTGTGTTGCTGCTTGGTATGGAAGGCTGGAACTCAACAATTCTGAAGAACATTTCTTCTTTTTTTAAGGTTTATTATTAAAACTAAAGCATTCAGGAAAAAAAATAATTATCTGATGTATGGGTAACTTCTCTTGAAAGCTAACTCACATTTTATGTGTTTGTTTTTTGACAAACAGGACAGCTTTCCAGCTCGGTTTGGAGGAATACATTTCGTCAATCAGCCGTGGTATATCCATGCTCTCTACACAGTAATACGTCCCTTTCTAAAGGAGAAGACACGAAAAAGGGTATTCTGTTTAATTGTCCATTACCTGGCAGTTGTTCAAGCAGGTGTATCATACTCTATTAGAGTAGATATACACAATATACCAGCTTGCTATTGGTGGAAAGCATTTAAATGCATTGGCACTGTAAAGAGTATCTTTAAATGTTTTGGAAATTTATAGAGCACATTCCTTTAAGGACACAGTCAAGCAGTGCATTTAAATGTATTTTAATGTAAGCATGTGCTTTCTCCTCGGGGTTATATAAAAATACTGCCAACATTACCATTTCTATTAAGATTATATTCAATTTCCGTTACAATTATTTATGTCTTTCTTTTTAAGAAAAGACATAGTGCGTACGAAGTCCTTTCCTCATGTGATTTCCTTGACATTAGCATGAACTAAAATACACAGCTGGTATATAGTATTTTTCAGATACTGAATTGAATAAAGCCAATGAAAAGGAATTTGGGTAGATGCATCTGTGCATAAGCACGAACAGTCTCTGAGATGTTGCTGAATTTGCATCATTTGCATCAATGCAATTAAGTTAGAGCTTGGTGGTGATAGCACAGAGAATGATATTATTTCTGTAACAGGAAATTTGTCACCCAGGAAAACACAATCAGCATCATGTACAAAGCCACTACAAAGAATGTGATGATCCTTTTTTTTTTTTTTTCTTTCAATGGGATCAGCTCTCTAAGCGACTCTGCATTTTTACTCCTCAAACAGTCTACAAGGGCCACAATGGTCCTTGGCATGTAACTGATTTTTACTGACAGATTCTGCTTGAGAGGCCTCTGTTATTCACAGGTTTTGAACTATAGATCACAAAGCCTTTTATGTAAGATCTGTTATAAATATGCAAATGGAAACCCATTTTGCAGGGTTCAGTTGCACTCAGTTGACTACAGCTTCAACAAAGAACATTATAGTGCCAGATACGTTTGAGCCCTTTTTAAGTCAAGTGCTGTATATGCATACCCAGGGAGTAAAGTACAGCTCACGGGCATGTTATAACATTAAAAATAAGTGACAAGGCAGTTGAACATGGGTGCTTATCAGTTAACATCTAAATTTTTATTTAGACGTCTGAATCAGTGGCATGTATTTTCAGAAACACTGACTATTTACAACTGTTTTTGCCTATACTGAATACCTATAAGAAGTGTTCTGGTGGTTAAATATTGATTTAGAGTCCAAAACTTAATGTCAAAATGTGAAAGTTATGCCCGGCACATAAGATTTAAAATCGGCTTTGAAACTACCATAAGAGGCGGAACAAATCATTGTGAAAAAAGCCCCCAAACCAAACAGAGTTTTCATCAGAATTTCATCAGGATCATTATTTATCTGTTTTGTTTATCCTGAATTGTTTTGTATTTGTTAATATGTCTGGTGGATTTGCAACTGATGGCTATATTCCGATAAATGTTAGTACTAGGCATGTGTAAAAACAATTGCTAAAAACTGAAACACTCCATTGGAAAGGCACCATAAAACAAATTACTTTCACCATTGATATTTGGATAAATTCCTTTCTGTCATGGAATAACATTGTTGGGCTTGCATGCTCGTATTAAGCTTCCTGTCTCCCCAGCTGACTGGAAGATGGGCTGAAATAGTCAGTGCAAGACAAGCATGTATTTGGTCTTTTTGTCTTTCATCCTTTTGAATTTGACTTTTGATAAATAGGGGTTATACCCCTGTCAAGGGGTCTCTCCAAGGTGAAGTGGAATGTGAACTGATAGTGCTCAATTGTCTGTGCTCACACCTCTGCTGTCCTGTGAGGGAGAAAAGGCAGTCGGCAGCTCCTAAGAGGCAACATCCTACCTTGGCTGCTTCTGTGCTAATCATTTAAAAAGGGTTGGGCACTGCCATTCATACTGCTTAATTCTATGGACATTTTCTGTCAGCGCACTGGCCAGTGCCAAATGGTACTTTCTTAGACACTGCCCAGGAACAAATTGGGGTTGGAATGGACCAGTGAGAAGTATGGATGAGGTGAATTTGTTCTCAAGATGAAAGGAGTTTAACCATACGGATGTGAACTCCTAATCCCAAAGGGTGAATCCTGGCCCATCTTACTTGCATGTCTAAAAACAGCTGCTGTGAGCATTCTGTGCATCCATACCCAAGAGTAAACATTTTCTCCCAGTGGAAAGCTTGTAGGTCCCTAGTACCTGTCAGAGAAGGCTGTCCAAATCCAGAGGTGCTCTGTTTCTAGTGCTCATCGATCACACATTCCAGATATCTGAGGAGAAACAATAAAGTTAAAGATAAATACAAGTATTTATATACATATATGTCATGATCACAGAATTGTAGTATCACAGAATAGTTAGGGTTGGAAAGGACCCTAAGATCGTCTAGTTCCAAGCCTCCTGCTATGCACAGGGACACCTCACACTAGACCAGGTCGCTCAAGGCCCTGTCCAGTCTGGCCTTGAACACTACCAGGTATGTGTAAAGCATGTGTGAAAATCATTCTATGAGAACATTGATGAAAAATATCAAATAGCCCATTAACTATTCCCTCATTGTTGTCACAGGAATTATTTTACTGTTATTACTTATTTCATATATTGTCAAGTATGGATGGTAGTTCCTCATACCACTATATTAAGGAAGAAAATCTTTAAATCTTTCTAGTGGAATTTTCATTACCCTGTACTATTTATGTTACTTATAGAACTTATGGCTGAATGCTGAAAATGAATATATATTCCTTAGCATACATGGTGAATGTTAATTTTATTTATTATGTTCTTAATTTATTAATTAAATTCACAGAATGAAGGAGAGCAAATAACAGACAGGAAGTCTGTCTATCTAATCTTCCATCCATCTAGTTCTCAGACATCAATTCTTACCCTCCTTAAGCCCCTTGCACTGCAAACATTTTAAGTCATTTATGCTTTAATCACTTTGTAGGTTTATGAATATAGTATAACCATGCTTATGACAGGGGTGATATGTGCCTTGGTGGCCATATCTGTTAGCCCAACACAGCAAGAATATTGTAACTGTACAATATCCTCTAATAATGATGATGTAATTTGGGCTTTGACTGTTTTTATGAGATTGCTTTGTTTTTACCTGCATGTGTACTTACAGATATTCCTGCATGGTAATAACCTCAACAGCCTGCATCAGCTAATACACCCCGAGATCCTGCCTTCAGAGTTTGGAGGAATGTTGCCCCCCTATGACATGGGGACATGGGCAAGAACACTGCTTGACCACGAATACGATGATGACAGTGAATGCAATGTGGACTCCTACAACACTCCAGCAAAGGATGTAGAAAAGGACCTCTCTCCCAAATCGATGAAAAGGTGAGTTAAAGGTACTGTGGTCTTCTAGGATTGCCATAAAGTTCACCTTTGCCTTTCTTTTCTTTTATGAAGCTGCAGATAGTTCCCTCAGTTTATTGTTACACGAGGACTGCCTTTTTTCTTTTTTTAAGAAAATCACTGTTGATTATGGGCCATAGAATTGATTATTATCCATGTGAGCTCAGTGCAACTAATTATTTCTGTGGTGCCATATAGGTAGTGTATGAAGTAGTGTGTTCGGAATAAGCTGATATCCCACCCCAGCGTGCAGTACATGTAAGAGAGGCAGTGCTAGCTGAAGTGAGCCTTGGCTCAGAGGGTAAATTGCGGCCAATTATCCAGCTGGGTGGTGATGATAACTCTTACTTTCATCATAGCCCAGTGCCTGGTATCCACCAACTTCTAGGTCCCAGGTCATTTACAGTATGTGAACATGCTGTAAACATGTTAGTCACAGTGACTGCACACAACATGAGAAAATGTAGTAACGAGAACCAGGACAAAAATCAGTACCTTTGTTATACTCAAGTCTGGTAAACATCCTGACATTATTGTATTATATTTGAGAAGATATAGTATAATTGCTGCTGTATTTTACCATTCAAAATAAAGGCAAGTATAGGTAGAGGTTAGTTACCTTTCCAGTAACTATGGAAGCAGTGAGGTGATTCACTTGGGAGGGGTAAACATGGTCCAACCTTGCCAGGGCAATAGAAGAGAGAGGGGGAAAATTACAGCAATGCGATAAAAAAGGTTGAGCAGAGCAGCAAAAGTAAGAGTGCAGCTCACAGAGGGTAGGCCTAGCAATGAGCCAGAAGAGAACAAACAGGGCACAAACCAATATATAAACTCATTAAAATAAGGTATGAATACGATATCCTGAGAATTCAGTTTCAGATGGCATTTGATGTAAAAGTGAGAGAGACTCTGGAAGCAGATAAAACAAGACAAAATATTTTCAGACTCCTCAGCCAGGAAGATGATTTTGGCTGGAAAATGCTGCACAGATTGGGGAGGACAGTGCAATTTTAAAGGGAGATATTTTTGGGGAAATAGGGAAGAGACAACAGGAGATTGCCATAGGAATAAAAAAGGAAAGAAACAGTGAAGTTTAAGGATTTTGTGTTGCAAAAAACCCTACAGTGCATCAAAAGTGGGAAATAGGAAGACACTGGGTGGGTATGAACTAGGATAAGAAGCTAAAAATTGTCCTGAAACCATATGGCACAGATGTACAGTAATAGAGAAAATGGGACAGCAAAGAGCCAGAGGAAGGGGAAAAGTGAGCAATGCATTTATATATGATTTGTATGTACTAGACGAATTATGAGGTAATAGAGAAGCTGTCTTGGAGAGAAGGGTGGAATTTCAGAGCTGAGATACAGAAGTTTTACTGTTACAAAATGAAGTCATTAGAGTGAATAGCTCCATCCAAGGATGCAACAAAAAGCCACGAGAACACTTGAGAGGACCCGTTGGAGCAGACTTTTTCAGAGTATGAGCAGATCAAGTATATTTCATTAAAAATTAAACTGAAAAAAAACCCAACCCCAACTTGAATTCAGCACCTGATGGATTGTTTTTTTCAGTTTAAAACCAGTTAGTGTTTTATGCTAGTACAAAAGGTTGTTAACATGTAAAAACCTATGAAACTGAAAATCTATGACATTGACTTATGTCAGTGAAAAGTGCCTAACTTGGAACAAATTTCACAAGCATCTAGCAGATCTTAAAAAATTATTCAATTTTACTTGCCTTTTTAAAAATATTTGTCTGAAAGAATACGTTTCTTAAACCAAAATAGTTCTGAGAATTCATTTCTTTGTTACTCATTTTTGGCCAGTATGCTATATATGCTGACGTTCCTCCAGATCTTCTTGAACTTTTGGTGGATTGGATGACCTCAACTTGAAAGGCAGTTTGATAATGGGGAGGGTGGTGGAGATAAGAAATTAATCCCATCTGTAGCACAAACCTCTGGGGAGAAAATGTTTGCATCAGGTGGCACCAGGTAGCTGTCTCAGCAGTCAAGTTTAGCCTGTGGGTGTGTCCACCAGTGGCTCTTGGATGAAGAATCCAGCTGGAGACCTGCTGTCCTTTTCTCATCTAGCCCTGTAGGGCAGATGTCTGTGTTGATCAACTTTGCAGAGTATCTGTGTGTGACTTTGGTCCCTCACCTCTGCTGTGGGACTTTGTAGCACAGTCCTGTCCTACTGTGTTTTGTGAGAATTTATTCAGTAATATCTGTAAAATTATTTGGGAGATGCAGACAAAAGGTGCTGTAGACTTACACAAATGTTTTTCCTTTTACATACCTTCATTCATAAATTACTGCTGAATGGAGTGAAACACAGCAGTAAATGCTGATTTAAAACAGAATCAAAATTATTTCTTCTTCTTCTTCAAGGCACTAGGGCTCCTGGGCTTGCAAGCCATAGGTCAGGATTTATTCAGTTCCATTTTCACATTTGCCTTGGCATTGTGGAGTTTGGAGGCCCTGGGAATTTATGGACAGAACTGCCTCACTGAGAATTTGAGGCCAGTTTTCCAGCCTTTCTGGCTCCCCTTCAGTTCCCCGGATGAGAACTGGAAACCTTTGCTGCTCAGACATTGGCAGCTGAGGAAGAGGCTCAGCCCCCTATTAGTACTTACATTCAGTTCAGAATCTTTGAAATTAGTAGGCTGCCATAGCATTTTTGATCTTGATGAACTGGATTTTCCAGGAGTACAGCTTCCCACCAGCAAATTTGCAATCAGCTTTGCATTGTCATGGTACCATGTGAAGATTTTTAAAAAAAGCATTTTAAATTCAGTGATCTGAAGAGTGTTCTAGATGAGGGTTGTGGTACAACTTCAATTAAAAAAAAAAATTTAACTATGTTTATCACAAGACAGACCATCAGATTTTAAAATCTATTTTTCTTCATTTAGTATGATTAAGAGAATGTAGTATTATCAGAAAATGTCCTTGTGTTTAAAGTTTTCACCTAGGCTGTAATTCAAATAGGTTTTTGTGGTTTTGAAGTTGTGTTCAGATTTTTTTGTGGAAGACCAAATTGTCTCCTGCTATCAGCATCATTCATTGGTTTTTTGTAGATGATAATAGTTTAGAAGAGTGAGCAACTGACTCTGTACGCATATCTTAGGAGACGTCAGTTTTCTCAGTGCCCTCCAAATGGACAAGTCTGTAGCAATAGTGCAGTCACAGTGTGGGTCCACTGATCAAAACAGATGCCTGTGTTGTAGAGACATACATGTGCTCTATCCATCCCAGTCTTCTTTACAGAAGAGAAATATGCATGAGATTCTAGCATGAGATTCATCTCACTGAAGGAAATGTCTAAAAGGGGTTGCTTTTACTGTACCCGTGTCTGCTTTTTGACAAGCTGAGACACAGGTGATGGAAGACCTCATATTAACGCTATAGACTTTGTTTTTATGGAAGCATTTTAATTTTGCTGGAGGTTGGGGTTTCCTCTTTTTCCCTCACACATTGTGCTGAATCAGAGAACCTGGGAAAATTTTACAATCATTGAATTTGCCCTTACCAGCCTTTCTTGTTCTATTTAGTTGAGCCAGTGAGTTTGACAATTAGGTCCACCGCTCCATAAATCCTACTGGCCATGGCAGAATTCCCTAGGGCTGGCTCAGGATGTTGCACTGTTGCATTGAAGTGCTATTCAGAAAAGGAGCAACTTGTGCTTCCAGCTAACACATGCCACTAATTGCAGTGTGCCATTAGCCAGCTGGGTGGCTGAATTGTATCTTCTTTACCAGCGTGGTTCCATGTAACCTTCTGGTAAAGAGGGTCAGTGCTTAAGTCAGTAAAAAAGATAGCTTACTTTGTCCTTACTTTGTCCTTACTTTGTTGTGTGCTGAAGAGGATCCATTTTATTCTAACATTTGCTCCTATATCCACAAACAGAGCTTTTGAAGCCATGTAATCACTCCATGAGGGTATTTTCTAACCATTTGCAATGATCAGATGATTGGGTGATGATGTACCATTATTTTTAAGCCCAGGCAGAAATTAAAATAGACAAAACAAGCTGGTTTACCCTCATTTGTCTTGATCTAGAAATGTCAAATAAACTTGTTATCCCTCTGCAGATCTCAGTCAGTTGTGGATCCTGGAGTACTGAAACGCATGGATAAGAATGAGGAAGAAAACATGCAGCCTTTACTTTCACTTGACTAACGGTTTCTGACCATCGGACATGAACTGAGGTGGAAGGCGCTGCCTCTCAGCAACAAGCAAACCATTGGGAAAGAGTACCAGCTGGAATCCTATTTACTTATGTTAATGTAGCATGATGGCAGCAGGCAGCAGGTTTTACTATTCTGCCTGAATTCTGGATGTGAAAAAGAAGAGGAGAAAAGAAGGAAAATAAAATGAAAAAAAAAAAAAAGGAGGAATCAATAATTTATTCTGTAAGTGCCAACTTGTTTGTAAATACGATATAATCCTCCAATTTGACTTTGTAAGTTATGGTAAACAAATGCTATGGAAATTAATGACTATTAAATATGTCAGTGAAGTGCACCATAGAAAAGAGAAGAAAATGTGTGTGCACTCACACATGCACACACATACATGCAGAGAAACACATACCGGACAAAGAAAAATATCAAAGCCAATTAAATGTCCTTCTCATAGGAAGCCATATTGCAGCTAGTGTATTGACTGCTATTTTGTTTTCTCTTGCAATGCTCATATAGTGTACAAGGATAAAGAGGGAAGAACTCAGAGATGCTGTAATCAGTCGAATATGTCCTAACTGTAGGAATTTATTTCCCAAATAATGTTATGGTTTAGGATTGTGATTTATCATCAACCATGTAGCATTGTGAAAAAGGTAACAGATGAGCTGGAAACAACTCTTTGACAGCTTTGGTTTTGGCTCTGTGGATCTGTGAGGTTTCATCCTTAACTTTTCATTTACAGTTTGCAAATAACCTGGCTTGTTACCCTAATCTGGGTGTTGTCATGTGGGACACATTGGAGTTACTTCTCTTGCATTTTGGGTGCACGTCAAGAATTTTTCCAGAACTCTGTTCTCCGCTGGAATGAGAAAGTGGTCTTCTAAATACAGCGTAATAACTGGTATTTGAAGTAAAGCGTGACAGCAGAGGTTAAAAGTTAATAACTGAATTCTGTGCACTGGGAGACGGGATACATATATATATATTTCCCAATCTCTGCCAAGCATACAAGGTGACATTGTTAAGACAAGTATATTTAATTGAAGGTTTATACAAGAAATCATACCTATTCAATGTACTTAGATATATTATAGATTGTATATTGAGACAATGTCATTATTAATAGAGTAAGACTTTCCATAGAACAACAGCATCCCACTCCAAGCAAGGATTAATATGAATAAGTTGTAGTCAAACATCTCAGCCTATGTGTTTAGGACACTTTTGTTTTGGTTGTATTGTAACTGTATATATTGAACATGTGCCATACTAGGGAAATACATTTTACCTCAAAAGGGCAGCAGCTTTTGCTAGGGATTGGATAAATCACCTGAACCACAGGGACTGTGTCATCTTTGTGTGCTGGTACATGTGCAGCCTGTTGTATGCTAAGGCAAGAATGCCATTTTGTATTAGGACTTAGTTCTGCAATCAGAGTGAGAAGACACAGGGTGCCCACCAAGACATCTGTGTGGTCAGGTATTGTAAGACCATGTCTTACAGTAATGCAGGGATTAGTTAAGAACACACTAACCACAGTGGAGGAGACAGCTCTGAGCAAGCCTGCCACCAGAGTTTAAAGAATTTCTTGTATCACATCAGTGATCGCTGAAGTTTCAGCCACTGATTGTAAGTCACCTCTCCTCACCCAGGATGATTGCAGCTGTAAGATTTAATAGGTTGGGATGAATTAAGAGACAGGAGAGTGAAATCTTGGAAGTGTGTCATCTCAAGGGGTTAAGCTGTAACTTCTGTGGTGGCAGTTTGGTATTTCTCAGGGCTGAGAGAACGCTGTCTCTTACAACATCACCCTAGATTAGCCCAGGCAGCACACCTGATAAAGCTTTCCTACTTTGCAGTTCATTAGCAACACTGATAAATAGCATATGCCCCAACATGCCAGTGCATTAAAGGAACTTTGATTAAGGAACTGAACAAGTCGTTGCCTTTCTGCTCTTCTAATTTCATGATACATGTGATGAAATGCAAAGAGAAAAGATAGGGAGCCTGAACATCTTTTCAGTCTGTCCTACAAGTTTTCAGTAGTAGAATTGGTTTTAATACAACTTCTATGGTTTGAGAGACTTAAAAGATTGATGAATTATTATATACTATTTTATTCAGTCCTATTTTTCACATACCTTGTAACATCATGCTGGCTATGTGCAATTTGTCTCTAAGATTTGCATAAGTGCTGTATTTGAATGTATGTTATATATGCCCACTCTTACGGTTACTAGAATAGTATATTGTCATCAATCTGATTTTTAAATCCTTATCAGATAAAACTCTAACATTGGTAGAAATTTTCTCCTTGTAAGGGCTTCAGGATATAGTCAGTATCCCATACGTATGCAAACTGTGACACAGTGGTGATCAAAATCTTCACGGGCCAAATTTTGTTGCAAACCAGGACAATGCTGACTTCAGAGTACATAAGTTGTCTGGTCAGTAAATATAGATGCCTCTTACGTCCCCACAGAGCATCTTTGTAGGAAGATGCATCTATCTGCTCAACTGTATGAAGCTTAAAATTTGTTTTGAAGCTTACAAATTTGTTTTGTTTGCAAATTCTTTATTTATGCACTTAGATGTAATTTATGTAATGTTTTCTGATGCCTGATTTCAACTTCAAGTTAATGAGTATTAATATATTCTTTCCAGAAAGTGAAAGTAGGATATATTATAATTTTGTGTAACTGGGACCTCATCTTTCACCAAGAACAAAAATCTACTCTTCAACAAGATCCTCACTGTTACAGAGTTGGGCTACAGATCTTCTTGTCTGCAGCTTTTATTTCACTGAAGGAAATTCAGTTGTGACTTTGGATAAAAATATGAAAATTGGTAAGAAAAATAATTATCCTTTATATGCTTTCAGTGTTCTTTGAAGGCATTTCTCTTTTACACATCAGGGTACAAAAAAGGATTTTCTTCACCTTTCCCTTGCTTGTAGAAAATCTTTATAGGTAGGTCAGTTTTTAACAGATTAAATTTGGACTGATTTTTTTCCAGTCTTTATTGTCATAGGAATCAGTGTCTAATTTTTATAGCAGAATTGAAATGCTAAAAATAGAATTCAAATGCTTGGGAAGGATTCTTAATTTCTTACCTTTGTTGTGTACTGGGTAAATAAACCTTGTTGTAATTATGCATGCCAATATGCACAGAAAAAAATATCCTGCTATATAACTTAGTGGAAAAAACAGATAGACCTCTCCAAGAAACTAAATGAAAGAAAAAAAAAAAAAAAGAGGAGGGGGGAGGAGTGAGGGGAAGAGGAAAAAGAAAGTGTAAAATCGATAGTTTCAGCAAGATGTAAAAATAACCCCTTACATGGTGTCTCTTCCATGAAGCAAATGTTTAAAAATACGTAGAAGAATTATGTAAACTTCCATGTCCAAAGCCTTCCTTCTGTAATCAAAGATGTCAATAGTCTCTTGGCTCTATAAGCCAGGTAATGTCCCACTATGCTCCAATATATATATAGGGTCCCAATAGTTACTAGTTGTAAAATAGTTTAAGATGTCTTTACAGAAATGTAAATTTACTGTATAGCATATTTAAAAAGATGTTTTGCACTGTATAAACATGCTATGCCTAAAGGCGAAAGGTATTTGTAAAGACATACATAAACTAAATATGGAATTAAAGAAAATAGAAGAGACCTCAGGAGGTCATTCATATGTGGAGGAGCAGGTTTGCTTCAATGTCTCTCTTAAAGAATTGTTTTAGCTCAGTACCTTGCATGGAATGCTCTTTGTATTATTTAATGTTTGTATTATTTAATTAGAAAAGCCTAAGCACATCTGACAAAATTGCATCCTGACAGTATTTTGTTCACACATTTTATCTACCTGTTTTGTTTGGGAAATTCAAAAGTTTGCCAAGTGTCATAAGAACTACCCTTTAGAATTACCTGGGAAAATCTTTGCAATAAGCTTTGGTCATGTCCTTGTTATTATATTGTTTCTGTTATTATCAGCCTATGTATTCATCAAAATTTTTGAAAAAAGTCGTGTTTGAAAGAGCATGAAAGAGAGAAATGTTCAAAATCAGGCTTCAGGATTTTCTGAAGAATATTAAAGTAATTTTGGGAGGATGTGCTGAATTTGGTTTTAATAATTTTGCTTGCCTATGGGGAGTGTCCTGCTGAGCTATCAGCTTTGGATGCCAGGACAAATCTGGAAGACAAATGTCAATGTGAAAGGCAAGAGCAAATGTCTCAAAAGATTGTATTGAAAAATCAATCATGTGGCTAGCTGTATCATGTCCTTATGAAGAAAGGAATTTTACAAGTAGCTTATGAACCTGTATTTGTGGTGCTGAGAACAGTACTTTTGTCTCCTGTTTCTCAGGTAGCAAACCAGAAACACAGCCAGTTAAAGACATTAAAATCTCAATGGAAGATATTCACATTGTGTTTATATATGCCAAAAAAAAAAGAAGACAGACACCTTGATCCCTCAGTCTGGTTTGAACTGCAGGACAAAATAATGTGTCCTTGTGTTGTGTGAGAAGAATGTCTGGTTCTTCAGTGATGCCTAGTTTCTTTAGAAACCTAGCTAAATATTTTACTATGAGAGTTTTACAAACCAGGGGTGATCTGCTTTCCTGTGTAGTTAAATCTGAATGTGTATTTTACCACTTCTGCTAAGCAAATAGTAAACACTAAGTTTTTCCTTTAAATTAAATACTTCTCTTCCTATATAATTGAAGAAAAAAAGGTAGTTTACTCTGAAGACCCCCGAAATGAAATCTTGGATGCATTCTGAACTTGGTCAGGAAGGATCTCCTTTTTAGGGCCTTGAAAGATACTTCTTGTGTATTAACTATACAAGGAACACTGGCATTTTACTCAGAGGCATGCTTAAGTGACCACAAATGAAAGTGCAAGCCAGGTAGATAGAACCCCACATCCTGTATAGCCTTGTAACCTTAAATGATCATGTCTGACAGGTCTGTATTTAGCACAAGGACTTGGACCTCAGTCTACATTTCAGCTTTCAGTTGTGTGGGAATTTTTGTCCTATCAGCTTTTGAGATCTTCATTTTTCCCCTTTATGTGGGTCTGTTGTCACAAAATGGCATTGCCCCCTGTTAAATTGCACAATTTCCAGTGATTTTGTTGTTTGAAAATAACAATCTGTGATATGCTGGGCAGTACTGAAGTTCAAAGGTAAGTCACAAACTCCCTATACTTTGTCATGCATTCTCCAATGTTTTTTGTGTGTAAACTGCTTTGATTTATAACAGATATGTCAGACTTACATGATAGGAGCTTAAAAAGAGAAAAAAGAGAAGTTTCTGCAGTGACTTCAAAATATGAGTTGATGGTATCACTGTGGAATCCAAATTGATTTGTTAAAACATGGCCAAAGTATTTTATCTATGAGGGCTATGATCACCCAGCTCTGTTGTTTCTGAATCAGTCACAACATGTCGTCTCTAATAGAGGTGTGACAAGGCTTCCTTTTGCTGTTAGCAGAGAATTCACTTCCAGAGAACTGGCATATCTGTCAGTTTGCAGCAGTCAAATGGTGGGGGTTAATTGGGATTTGTATTTGATATGGAGATGCTGCTCTGATCCCTTAAAGAGGCTGTTGCATCATCAGCAACACACAGCAGTGCCTAAAGGCAAGCATCTCAGATCACGTACCCTTGGTTAATAAAAATTTAAGGAGAGAAAAAAGCAATTGAAAAGATAATAGAAGATGACAAAACACTAAAATTAAAATAAAAAACAGAAGCGAGCCTGCAGTGGAAAGCCTTATGAATGGCAAAAAATATGTAGTGAACTCATATGAACATTTCCAAGAAGTGAATCTGTAGCCTGTACTGTGTTCCCCATCTACATTATGAGCAGAGTTTCCATTTTTCACATGGTCTACCTTGTGTGGCCATCGTGGACTTTCCTAAATCTTTTCAAAAACCTTGAGTTACCATGTGAAACTGTAGGTGCAGTAGCTGAGCTTGTGAACATGGTTCAATGGATCAGTTCATGCCACCAGAGCCTCACCCCAGGCCTGACTCAGTCCTTGTACCTGAAGGAACATGTGAAATGCCATGTGTTGCGTGACTGAAGAAGTCATGCCTTGGAGAGAAGGAAAGGAGTCACACACCCATAAGGTGGGAGTTCTATGGAAAAAACAACACGGAGTTGGAGTGAATTGATCAATCATTTTAATGTTATGGTGGGGAGGCTTTCACTTGCTCTGTGATATGAGAGAAGACTTACAAACCCCACCATACATCTGTCATCAGAAAGGAGAGACACCATCTTTCTCTCTTTCCAACACAGACTTGGTTTCGACATATTTAAATCTGTTGTACATGCCAAGCCTGAACTGCCTCTGATGCTGCTGTTTCCGTGGTGGGTCTTGGGATGTGTGTATCATGTAGCATGCAGGAGCTGGAAGCTAATGTTCACCAACCTGTCCATAGGAAGAGAAAGGAGGGGTGTATTCTGCAATTCCTTGCTGTAGAAATAATTTTGGGGCAGAATTCAGTGCTTGCTTGGAATAAAGCCTGTCTTGCCCTGACATCAGTATCTGTGCCCACTCTGTAAGAGGCAGTGAGTGTAGCAGTGTGAGAATCTCCCTTGTACACCTCAGTATCTTTTGCTAATTATGCCGCCTTCAAGCTTTAATTGGTGATCTGTGTCCTGTGTCTTTAAACAGTTCTGCTGGTGATGTTAATTGTAGCCATTAGTCACTCAGAGTGGAGATGATTTAAAGGAAATCGACAACTTTAAGCATTACACTTAATGTCTAAAAATACTAAATTGATGATTGTTACAAGTAATGCCTCAGATTATGCTAACTTAAAGTTTCAGGGTTTGGTTGCATTGCACACTTGATGAGATTTAGTGTACAATTGCTTTCCCTTAAATATGGTTTTCTCTGAGGTCCATGTGCGTTTTTCACACAGTGGCAAAAGGAATTAATAGAAAATATAATTCTTAAACTATGAATACATTCAGAGGGGCACAAACAGAATACCTGACACTACTAACTAAATAAATAAATGTTTTGCAGTTAATTAGCATTCAAGTTGACAAGAATGTCACTTTAAAACCATTTGGTTCTCTAGCTGTTTTACTTTATGGAGTGCTGTGTGGACAGTATCCTACAAATCTTTCTCAGCTCTGCATCCTTTCTTCATCCTCTTTGCATTTAACAACATCCTGTCTTCTGTATATACTTTGTACTTTATTCTATTAATAACTTGAGAAAGCTGTAAAAAAACCCTGACATCCTGAAAATCTGCAGACTAGAGCTTGACAGCCACTATTTTAAATATTTCCTTGTCCAAATTTGTGGTAATAAATGGTGAAATGGAAAAATAAGAGCAACACCCAACATCATCATAGAGGAATACAAGAC